TGGGGACCCCGTCGTGGTGGGTGCGGGACACACGGCGTGAACGGGGGTGGTACGGGAAGGTGCCGTGAAACCTTTGTTCGTATGCTGGCGAAAACGTGTGCCTGAAACCTTGCCGCTTGGGGTTGCTTTTTTTGGTTTGTTTCTTTTTTTTTTCTTTTTCTTTTTGTTTGTTTGTTTCTTTTTCTATCCTCTAGGTAAAAAAACAAAAAAAAGACAAACGTTTAAAACCACCTTATGTTCTGGACTAGTAAAGATTAAGAGAACTTGGCAAAAGCGAAGTGTCACTCTGAGAATTTTCTCTTTTTTTTAGCCTGCTTAGGGAAAATAGATATTACACGTTGGTTTTTATAAACACTGGGTGATAACGTGTTCCTGGCGTGCAGATAGACTGATATGGAATTGCTTTGTTCCTGTAGAAGGCCCTATAAGACTTATGCATGGGGCCTCAATGGCTGGTCTCGAATGTCTTTTAAGTTGCAAATTTGAACTCCGGGTTCATTTCCCTAAAACAGTTTGAGAAAAGTAGAAGGAATTGGGGGTGGGGAAGGGTAGCTTTTTTTTATTATTTTTTTTCTGGAGCCAGGGAAAGGTAGGAAGGTGCTTTTCTTATTTCCAGCCACATCTGTGCTTTCTCCACCTGATGGGGCTTTTTACAACACACTGAGGTGAAAATCTGGTCCTGTGTGGTTATCTATAGATTGTTTCTTTGTTGTGTTACCCTAGTAGATGCAGGACTGTGAAACTGACAGTGACCATTCATTGGAAACCCTGAAGAAAAGGGAAATGTGTGTGAGCTGTGTGCTTGTCTTTTCTCCTCCTGTACCTGATTAAGTATATAAATATTTATTTTTTTTTTACTTATTTAGAAAGAGGAAAGTGTGTTTCTGGGGAAAACTGGAACCTAGAACCAATTATTTAATCGGGCTGTCGGTGCAGAGTGTGTTCTTAAGAGCCTCTTGACCTAATTTGGTTGCGGCGTTGCTTATTTTTTGCTTGTTTTCTTTTTAGACCGTTTTCTGGCAAAGGTCTTTTGTGTACAGCTATTCCGGTTGCCTTTAACGAGGTGCAATGGCGTAGAGCAGTTGCCTCATGCCTGAGATTTCTGCTTCCCCTCCCTTTCTCAATACAACTCCTTCCTTAAAACTCCAGTAAAATGGCCGCAGTACTTTATTTGCGGTAGTTTGGCTTAGGCTAAGGTTTGCTTTTGAAGCCCGTACCTGGCAGTCATCTAAACTGTAATGAGCAAAGCTCCGGTAGCTCGGAGTCCTTCGGGCTTCTGCTTTGGACGTTGGGTTTGTTACCCGCTGCCTTTCCTTCTCGCTTCGGCGTGTGGGAAGGAAGGTGTCCGTCCACCTGTGAGCTCACGCACGGACCCGCAGGCAATCACCCGTGATTCTTGTCTTGCAAAACTTGCGTAATGCTTTCTTCAGCTTCCTAAGAGAAGGCAAATCGAAGATCTACAGATATGTTCCTGAAAGGGTTCTACTTGGCACTGAAGAAAGAACAATCATCTTAGTGTTGCGGTGAAGCAGCATGTAATTTTAAAGTTTTTTTTCCGAAGTGGGCTAGGACATTTGGTGTGGCAGACAGTAAGGCTAGCTCCAGGTACATCCACATTGATGTATCCTGGGGATCTAATTTTTAGGGGCACGTGATTGACAGAAATGTGGGTTAGGTCAACGCTTCTAAACAAATTACTCTCCACTTTAGAATGGAAAATACATAGATCTAAATGGTGTAAACTCCCCTGTACGCATGTCCCTGTTTTGGATTCCTCAGTGTTTTGGTTGTGGTGTTTGGGGGTTTTTTTTGGTCTTGGATCAGTATTTCTTTCACAAGGCCAGGATCCTGTGTTTTCTCCAAACAAGTGAGATTATCTTCATAGTTACTTCACTATCCTACCCAGTTAATTTTTTCTTCCAAGTTCCTCATCTTAATACAGTCTTTATTTGAGCAGGAGTCACTGCCACACTTGCTTGTCCTTGATTCATTTTTTTGATGTTTAAAATAACTGCAAACTCTTTTGTACAAATAAGTCTATGCATAACTAGTTATTGCATTGGACTTTTTAATTTTCTC